CCTCCATGAATAATTGTTCACTCTCTCAGGGTGACCTTATAATTATGAAACGGTAAACCGATAAACTGTTCTAAAAAAGTTCAGAAAAATGCAGCTGCGGCTAAAAAACGGATACGTAGGTTATTCGTGCTGGGGAATCCGTTCATGATGCTCGAAAACATCCTTAATGACTGCTTTTCTTGAAAGTGCAAAATTTGAAGGTGACCTTACAATTATGAAACGCACTGCATTAGCGCATAGGCGACGCAGTTTACTCGAGCCGAGATTGAACCATCTTTTTTCTAATGCATCCAACTCGATTGAGAAGTTTCCGCACAAATCGAGATTCATGCCGATGCTGTCGGCAACGACACATACACCCTTAACGCACCTGTTGTCGGCGTCTAGAGAGGAATTCTTCTCCAGTCCCAAGACGGCGTATACAAGGCGGTAAACTTCTGCCTCAGTCAGACCGATGACGCCATACTTGGCTTTCCTTCACTACAACGTCAATTCTTCGACATGCCCTTGATGCAAGCGCTTTCTCTTCTAATTGATTTCCATGATTTGCTGCTCATGCAAGCGCATCCCTTCCCTTAGTCTTAATTGTTTGTTTATTTTATGTATCAGCCTCGATCCACCTCATTTCAAGCTCCACGGTACTCACCATTATCCACTGCAGATTCGCTTCGGTGACGCTCAATTGTCGATCGCAGTTTCGACCATAAAACATGAAGCGGCAGCTACACGAGAATCGTCGTGTTGATGTCGGATCCTCATAGCAATCTCCATGAATGCACACTCTATTACCTTAATTGCTGCACCTCAGACTTAGATGTGCACTGCAAAATAAGTATTTTGATGAAGTGGTTCATGAGATACACTTGAGCCAGTGAGGGTGGCAAAGCAACTTTGTCCCAAACTATAAAAAAGTGTCACGTAGCACTCCTACAGTAGAAGGGTACCTAGTTGGGAAGATTCATTTCATCTGTAGCTGGTCGGTACCAAGGGCACATATATGCTACATAGCACATTGTCTTCACAAAACTCCATACACCCTTCATTAATGTTCATGTTTTTTTCGTATCTTTTCCAGACCCTATGTCCCAATCTCCATAAAGTTCAAGTATATGCAGCTCACAACAGTCTTTCTTCCTCGAAAGGTTATAAAAGGAAACCTGTTTTTCGTTTCTCCTTTGTAGCAAGGAATTGCCTGGAATTGGGAGTTTTTTGAATTTGCCTATAGAAAAGTATATACCTGGAACCAACAAATCGTTACGAGTATGGAAAACTTATTCCCGGAATCTTCCCTCCTATAACGCTCTACGGCGACGCCTATGATAGCTAGGGGTCTTTCGTCTTTCCCTCTGAAATTCCGAAAAAGATTGAGTGCCGGTAGGCATGCCCTTCCACTCTCGAGATTTACCACATACATTTGTGGAATCTACATCAGTCGCTGTTTCACAGTTCAGTGCTGTACGGGTGAGCAATTCAGCCTTACGCATCTTCACTTTTTCATATTATATCTACGATGTCCACAACGAACCCGAGCAGTCCAAGTTTTACATAAAACTCTGCACTTCCTCAGAAAGCAAAAGTAAGCAGTATGTGCTAGGGCATTGGCTGCCTATAACTACCATCCCTTTTCAACTCCTTTCTCTTATAATTAGCCAACTACCCCAGTTGGCAAGGCAATACTTTGTTAGGATTTGTCTCCATGTGCCCATGCATCCACCGCTCTGAAATACTATACTATACTGAAACTGAAATACTACACTATACTGAAATGCTATACTTTCGATTGAATTGTTATGGCATCTACATACATTCATATATGCAACATATTCCACCAAAGCAGATCACTTTACACGCACAAAGTGTTTGACATCAGTGAATGCAAAGTCTTTTCCAGCGAATTTCAATGTGTGTAGTTACGATGCATGAGTCTGTGTAGCGTCCATATAAATGTGTTTCTTGAACGAACTGTTATGTCACTGCCCAGCCTGAGCTTGGTAAGAGCGTCTCTTGAGCTGCTCCAGAATGTGCATACTGGAACACAGTTGCACTTCACCCACAAACGGATTACCAGAGTGTTGTAACACTTTAGCTATAAAAATCTCAAAAGCAGCAGCTGAGGATTGGTAAATCACGCTTACAACTTGTCGTCTAGTCAGAAATGGAGGCGTTGAGCGGAATCGCATCAATAATGGTCGTTTTAAATAAAGTAGGACCAAGATCTGGCAGAAATTTCTAAAGTTACATAAATGTAACACACAAAGGCTTACCAATAGCCTCGCAGTAGTCGTAAACGTATTCACATAGGGTTCCTGACGTTCCGGACACACATTTACAACTGCAAAAAAATTGTCACTGATCTCACTAATTGTAAGTAATGATCATCACTGCCCAGCTCAGGGAGGCGCTCAGGGAGGCACTTTGTCCCCACGGCGGTCTGAAAAAGCTGCCGTATAAGGTAGCTCTACCATAGAATTGAGTTACCGACAGCCCGATAATCGAGGGAATGGAATATTAATTGTTCTGCGCAGATTCCAGTCAATATAGTATTCACATGATAACGGGGCACCAGTTCAGCACTTCTCTCCTACTTTTCCGGGATGAAGTATTAGAGGAGGTTGAACAATTTGAAATGAACAGAGGTTGCGCTACTACTCCAAACTCTTTGGTTTCGAGAAATCAGTCATCAGTTGTTACGGATTTTCCGTTCAGAGAGTTAGCACAACCTCCATGGTAAAACAAATTCCTTTTAATTTTAGGAACGTGATACAGATACGCACATAAACACATACATACATGCTCGCCTATACACATACACGCCTTCATGCACAAACGCATATATGTACGCCCATATTGTCGTGACGAGAGTACGACCCTGTATATTCCCAGGTCAAAGGGCTAACCGGAAGGATGCCTTGCGCCTCGGGCCACAAGGTCCTTACACGAAAGCTCTGACGTGGCACTCCCAATGTCTAGTGCTAACGCGGCGGACTGGTTTGGCAATTTCATCAGCTCGTGTCTCATTATCCTTTTTTTAAGCTACTTTCGATATTGTTTGAATTTCATTCTATCAGTTACATAAACTCCAAGTTTACCGGAGTAGCCCAGCCTCTGTGATTCCTAGGAGAAGGAACTTGGAGTGATTAGGTATGCCTTCCCTCTTGACGTCTATCTTATCTACTACTTTGATGTATGTTATCTACACACATCATCAGTTCTTGATCTTGAAAGAGTTAATGCTGTCCTGGTAACTCTGACTATATGAATATGTAATCTGATTATCGCTTATTTAGTCTCTTCTTATATTTGCTCATCACGTATTTAACATTTTTATGTATTGTCTTGCTATATGTATGCCTTGCTGTACGCTTAGCCTTGCCATGTGTTAACCTTACCACGTTATTCAGCAGTGCCATATATTCAGCCGTGCCTTGATATTGAGCCTCACCAGTATTTGTGTAATGAGAAAACAAACATATAATGATGAGCTCGTTAATGTAAGAGATGTATATTGTATAATAAGAACAACTGGATCAGTGCTTGAGACGGAAGGTAACACGGAACAGTGACCAGGCACTAGGTAATCCCTGGGTTTTGTGGTGATGAGGGTTAAAATCACCGATGTTCCACCCATGCGGACCCTGGAACAAATCACATACTCGTAGTTGAAGGGCGTCTTTGCAATACATGAAGCTCCATTGGCACATAGGTGATTGGAGCATGCATCGGCAACTGCTTCGCGGGCTCCCTGTCACCACGAAATTGGTACATCGGCCGCAGCCAACTTGTCGTGGGACATTCTTGGCTGTGAGATCAACCCGTAGCGGCACCCTCCTGAGAGAAGCACAAGATAAACAGCAATCGATGAAAGCGTAATGGGTCTGATGACAACACTACCGTAGGCTCAATACCTGTATTCATTAGCTGGAACCAGTGCAACTGTCGGGATCAGTGCCAGGGGTCCCTTCCGCGTAAAGTAATTAGACAATCTTCACAGGTAACACTGGACAGCTAGGGACCAAGGATCAGGATGAAGGCTCTGTTCGCGTGCGTGAGTAGCAATCTCAGGTGTTTCTGCTGGGAGGTCTCAGCTATATTACGCGAATGCCACTGAGAAGGCCGTTGTTCGTGCGGGATGCTCTTTGAAAGGCCGTTGATGCTACGGGGTAGGCTCAGATACACCAAAAATAAAATCTCAGAAATTGGCTATAATTGCTGTTTCCCACTCGTCAGATGGTAATGTAGTTGGAGTCGTGACCAATCATCGCTCATTGATTGCTAAAAAATCAATATCTCATCATTCTCGGGTAATTAATCAAAACCCTGCTTTCCTCTCAGAAGTGCATTAGCAAACTTGACGATTTCGTATATTGAGAATACCTTCATTGAATAGTACTGGGTTACATGCCGTTCATTTGCCGAATGCATTCGTTCGAGAGCCGTGTAACAACAGCGGTCGATACTCTTTCGAAAACGATCTCTTCTGTTGATCTAGCCTACTTAACATAAATAGATACTTCAACCACTCCAGACGTCCGGCTTCGCGAAATTATTCGCCGTAGAGCAACAATTTGCGGTAGGAAATTCGCAATCCAATGAGCGTTGGAAGCTCTCAAAGAGCACTATGGTTCTCTCATACTGTTTGTTCAAAATCGGAAAGATAGCTCATCACTGCGTGAAGAGGTGGATCAGTTTTGGATTCAGTTGCAAGGGGAAAAGATAGAACAGGACGCAGTAGAAACCATAATGGCGCTAGATACAAAGTTGACTGTAGACGAGTCTTTGGGAACAAGGACTATGTAATCGTGACGGCCGACTGCAATTTTTGCTCCACTTATGTACCCTTCATTTTTGACCCAACTCGTCAGCTTTTATTGACACTGTAGCCCTTCTTCTCCCTGGGAGAGGTTGGCGAACCTACTAAGCTGGTATCCGGAACAGCCATTCCTCCTAGCCGCTTGCAGTGTTTGGCCGGGGCACTGCCCTTCCTCTCCCGGGTGATCTGTCGACTCCCCCCNCCCCCCCCCCCCCCCCCCCCCCAACCACTTCCCCCGTTCCCACCGTTTTAGACTTTCATTGTTTCCATTGTATTCTGTAACGCTGTATTCCCTATTTATTACTGTGATAAGTACTATATATGCTCCACTATTGTTAATTTGACGCCTCCTTAGCACTTACTTTTTGCCTGTACATCCGCTGTGCAATAGATAAATGAATAAATAAATAAATAAAACTAAAACATCTCTTCGTTCACAGCTTACGCATAACGTCACGCAAGCTACAGCAGCGCTAAGTATTGCAGGATCTCCTAGCAGACTATGTTCTCCCAACGCGACCCCATTAGAGCATAACGCAAAAATTCCGAACCAGTCATCTTCTAATTCTCCAATACAGCAACATGCGATTCCACTTGTGCAACCTTTTCAATTAGGTAGGTTAGTACTCCCAGTACTTGACGGGGATATCACGCGTTTCCACGATTTCTGGTGTCGCTTCAGGGCTGCTTTACATTATAATGACTCACTTCCTCTAGCAACAAAGTTCATTTATCTAACAAACTCTCTTAAAGGGAGCGGTTCTCTCATCATTTAAGGCTATGACCCTTCAAGGGCAGAGAATTATCATTTCGCAGTGCAGACACTTTTGAAACGTTATAATCGTCCTCAATTCACATACAATTTGTTTCTTCATAAATTATACTACTGCCCCTTTCGTTAAATTTGGCTTCCTCACAAAGGGATACTCTTTCGCATGTTCAGTCATATATTTTGCAGTTTAGCCGCTTTGAAAATACAACTACGTCATTGTCTTTGATGAAGCTTATTGGAAAGAAATTCCCACGTGAGACGCAAATGGAGGTTAACAATAAAGAGCACCGATCAGGAAAAATGTGGACGCTGTTAGAAGTTCTAGATGGCTTAAAGTTATCGAAGAGTTATAGAAATTAGAATCAGGTTGGAAAGTTGGCTGTTCAAGAATTCAGTGTTCATCCAGTTTCTACGTTTCGTTCGTAGTCTGATTCACCAGAAATTAGCTATAATCCCAGTTATTGTTCCTTTTGTTCCTCACGTAATCATAGTTCAATGCGCTGTGATCGGATAATGCCTGTGTCCACCCCACGTATAGTTGTAAAGTCTCTCAAACTCTGCTGAAAGTGCCTGAGGCAGGGACACACTAGCTCCCAGTGTGGTTATCCTAAGTGCACGAGATGTAAAAGGAACCATCATTCGATTCTCTGTGGGAAAGATGCATATTCAGATAACAGTTATGGAAATCGTGATTATAATCGTCATCGCACACCATCTACGGATACTTCTACTAATCGTGAGTTTTCAAGGTAACCCTCAAATAAAAGTGGTATGAAGCGGTCGACAGCTCGCTCACACTCGCCAGCTTACCGTTCAGCGACAGTGTTTCGCCCGTTCGGCACAAGTCGCGACGCGCCAGGAACGCACAGTTCGTTTCAATACGCCAAAACAACATGAACAGTCACAGCGTGTAGGCAGATCCCCTGCCCGAAGCAGGCGGGAAACAACAGTTCATCTTGTTCCAGAATCGGAACCAGAATATGAACAATCAGATTATGAACAGGATTCGTCATTGGGTATACAGCTGGTCGCACGCACCGGAAAGCCGGAAAGTGCCACGCTAATGACTATTCAAGCTTCTTTGGTCAATTCTGAGACAAAAGAACGACTACCTTTCATAATTTTCCCAGACGCTGGAGCACAAACAAGCTTTATAAGTAAGGCAGTGGTTGAACGATATCAACTCCACGTTTTTGAGAAGGCTCCGATGACAACCTTCGCCTTTGGGGCAGTGAGCACAACAGAACAATCGGTTAAGACGTACGTCACCCTTATTGACAGTTATAATCACCCATTATCGCTTGTTCTCCATACTAAAGATAGGCTTAGGCTTACTAGGCTTATAGGCTTACTATTCCATCTTCACCAATTTGTCTGACAGAAAAAGATCGTGAAGTACTTGGTACACTTAACGTGTCTCTTCATTCGCTTACGGCGCTCCGTTTAGTGACACCCGAGATCATCATTGGTATTGATTATCTCTGGGATATTCTCACGTTGCAAGAACCAGTGGCTCTAACTTTAGGCTTAGTTCTTGCTCATACTCGGTTTGGACCCACTGTTTCAGGATCAAAGTTTTTTCGTTGAGTTCTATCATTCTTCAACTGTTGTTTTAATGTTCTTTCCACACAGAACGATAGAGACCCTATTTCTCGTTTTGACAGTTTGGATGTTATAAGTACTACCGATAATCCCGACCCATGTTATGATCAAAGAGAAGAAGCGTCAATGACGCCGCACAGATAATAA